TAAAATGTGGGATAATATTTTAGACAATTGTTTTCTGACAGACGATACCCCTACTCTCCCTTGCAAACGGGCGATCGACCATAAAACTACCTAGCCTAATCTAGGGTTGCAGTACAACTGGCTGATAACAGCACCTGAACAAGGTGTCTTCGAGGTCTCCTTTGCCCTTGTCAATATACATTTGTTGACCGAGAGATAATAGGTAAAAACAGGGAAGTACGGTGAATCACAGATGGATATTACACGCACAGTAACGACTTGCCTTGGTTAAATGACAACTAGCTTAGCTGGGCAGGCAACTTCAATCAATAAGCCTGATTGCTTAATCGTTTACGCAGGATTATTGCCAGATTTTGCAGCCTTCCTTTCTGTGCCGGCATTGGCCAAAAATAAACTTTGTGAGCTTTGCCCTACACATCAACAACCGGATGTCTTGTAGGTAGCAAAAGAGGCGAATAGAGAAATTATAGGAATAACATCGCCAGCCAAATGACAGTCAAATGAACAATATATGATTTGCATACCCTTACGCCGACTAGGAAAAAACACAAACTTAAAGGGGTCTTTGATTTCAAGTGGATTAAAGCTTAAGAACGATACCAGAATTCTCCAAGCAGGTTTCTTAGAAGCATACATATACACTCAGGACCAACAGCTAGAGCACTTTTTAGAGGCTTGTTCAGAATTCAAGCATCAAACGTCTACCCTTATCAAAACAGAATGTGCAAGTTCCACTGTCTCTGGTGATGGATACGTGACGGAATCCGAAAAATCGGACGGATACAGTTTTTGTCCCAGCGATTATATCTGCTTCTTCTCATTATAATATTTGTCTAAATGTGTGTTCCGAATCATTACAATACCATTTTCATATTGATGCTCAGATAGAAGTCAACTAATATCCTCATTACAACGTGTTGCTTATATTATGATGCGACAGAAATCAATTGATAAGCCGGCGCTAACTTTTCATGAACAGGATTATAATAGACGATACGCGCAGTGCAAGCGTTTCTCTGATTTCTGTTCAAAGGAAAGAGACAAGGCAGAGTTTTTGAAGTATGAACTGACGCTAGAGACAGGTTCTATTGCAGGGTCTCGTTTGAAAACGAAAACACAAGCCAAATTATACATCCCGTCGAGATATCGAGCAGTTAGCTAAGTATCGCATTTCAAACAAGAAATTCAGTCAGAGTGGGGTCTGCAAAAACTAGTTCTGCAAACATAATTAATCCTGTATGTTCCAGCACGCCACGCAAGTATGTATGTGTTAAGCTAACACAAACAATTTTCACGGAAGCATCATTTCCGGGTAATTAACTATGTTCGCAAACAGAAAGCAGTCTACGAGAATGCCGAAGGTGAAAAATGCCGGTACCGACCAAGTATCTGTGTCTCAATCGATCTACTGCTTCAAGGCCCAGTTCAGTAATGCAGAACTTGCGTGTTGAATAGGCACGGCTGAAAACATGTGAAGCGCAAAATAGGAAAAGAAGGGAACGGGAGACTCAGTCAGAAAGAGTTCCGCGAGACAAAGCAGAGAATAACGGATAGAGCACGTTGGCATACTTAAAACCACCCTAATAAGAACGCACGGTGACACGCCTAAAAGATGAAACTCGAAAAACAACTATCACGAGGGCGCATTAAAAAGGACATTGACAA